GTGCAATTTTCTCTCATTATAATCAGTTATGCAGATGTGGGAGAAATGGCAGCACTGCAGTGTCCCCTGGGAAATGTGATATCAGCTAAACGATGCAGGGAATTCAAACTGTATATAATTACCTTAACCTCCACCACTGAGAGGAAAACTGATTGCACAACTTAAATGTCTTTCAGAGCAGAAAAGCTGAAGAGAATAAGTCAAACCCACGTCCAAAACCATGTTCTAAAGGTCTCAACATAAACACACCTCCACAGTTTGATGTCTTTGTCTTCCTCACTGTCGGTTCTCTCTCTTTCACCTGCACGACAATCACAGCCCACTTTCAGTAAAGGTTGAAAGTGCTTATCTGAGTCTCAAGCACACTGGGATGATGGGCTTCCCTGCCGCCTTCGCTGGGCCCCTGTGGAGAAGATTCGGGCATCAACATGTTATGATTTGTCAGCTTGTGTCTTGCCCGGCGAGTGCAGGGTGTTTTGGCAACAACAGTGATGGAAGGAGGTCTCAAAATGTATCCAGATTTATCAAGACAAGTGTTTAAATCCCACGGTTAAGTGAACATATGACTACCACAGTGGAGAAGCAGTGCACTACTGCCCTACTGTAACATTTTATTTGGGTAAAAGTGCAGAAATACTGTCAGTAAAATGAACTTCAAAGGTAAAGTACGGATGTGAAGAGGCATGGAGATAGTTGCTGTTGGCATCAGAGCATTTATTCATTTACAGGCATATTTTGGGGCATTTTATGTCCTTATCAGAGTAGAGATCTGACAGGAAATGAGTGGAAATGACAAACAAATCCCCACAACTGGACTTGAACCAGACACATTATGGTTAGCATGTTAACCCATTGGCCACCAGGACGCTCCTGCTCACAGATCAGTTGAAAAAGGAAAGAAGTAAAAACAAAAAGGTTCGGGGAGAAGGAAGAACAGAAGACAATGAAAGACAGAAGGGAAGGAGACAGAGGAAATGTCAAAATGAAGAATGAAAGAAAGAAAAATGGAAAGAGAAAATTATATTCAGCATTTAAAATCTGATTTGGTAATTACAGCCGTCAGATAAATGTGCAGGAAAGTATGTTTTTGTTTGCAATCTAGAAGGGAGTTAGTAGAAAGACTCTCAAAAGGAAAATGCTACACTTGAAATTCGTACTTGTGCAAACTCGAGTAAATACTTGAGACTTGAGTCGTTTTATTTTCCACCTCTGGAGAGAAAACAGCACACGAGAGCTGCTGAATGTGGGTTTTGTGTTGTAACTGATCCACGCCGCGGAGGGGACGGCCCTGTGTTTTGTTACTGTAGAGGACAAATGTGACCTCAGAGCAGCTGGGTCATGACATGAGCTATTCCTGCTTCCACCCCCGACATCCAGCCTCCATCACATACCGACATACCCAGACCGCCAGTCAACGCAGTGCAGCAGCAACAATGCAAACGTCGTCTGTACAGTCGCTGTGACCCTGTAACAAACCGAAATCAAAAGATCCAACAGGGGAAAAGAAGTTATAGCTGAGATGCCTCTCGCCTGGACATGTATTGTTCTTTCTCACGTGGACGACTTGCTGGATACAGTTCACATCTCCTGAGCAGTTATCATGACATTTAAGACTCTGATTCACAGAGTACAAACGTTTTTGAGGTTCACCTTTGCTTTTAACTGATATTCAACAATTTCACAAGCAGGAAGATCTGAAGAGATAAAAATGCAATCAATAGACTTGCAGGATTTGTTTCTTTGCAGAGCTGTTGTGCGTTTCAGGTGAATTACAAACACCTCAAATGATTTGAAGAAGATTTTCTTGATGCATATGGGTGTAAAAATACAAAAAAAAAAAAAAAGTGTTTGGTCTGTTTTGTCCTAATGAAACCTTAATGATTTTTCCTTCATATTACAGCTTTACATTACATTACATTTCACTTAAATTCAAATCAGTTTGACATAATTCAACATAATGCTGGTTTAAAAACCTCTATCTCAGGTTGCTGGTAATGCTTTGTATATGGTGCTGTAGGACAATGGTTCTAAAAGCTTTTCCCCCTCTGGGCAGTCTGGGTTTTTCCACAAATTGAAAGATATGTTATTGTCTTCATCAACATCTTTACATTTTTTATTTTTTTATATTTTCCATCAGAATTGATGTGGCAGTTTGAAGAACAGTGGTTGTACTGAAACTAAATGTTGGCATGAATGCAGTAAGCATCATAAAATCATAACTGACTCCAGTGTATCCATATTTATCACATTTCATTTGACATGTTTTTATGTGGAGGTTTGCCTTGATTTACAGTATATCATCTCCTCTGTTTGAGCCGGGATGAAAGAAAAGAAGAAAAGGAAGGAAGAGCGTCTGATCGGGCGGGATGGGCGGTGATTGCACGAACTGAAAATCCTTTCTTCCCTCTGTGACGATGCTGAAAAGACAGTAAAAACAGATGGAGGTCCTGACACACAGTCAGACGCTGGAAGGGAATATAAGAAAGTCCAGAAATCAGAGCAGTAATTTCCTACGTTTAGCCTTGGATAATGTTTCAGCTTGTTTCTATTTCCTCCAGCAGTTACAGAGTCATAATTTACAAACTTCCCTGTGTTACCCCAGAGGAAAATTGTACGGCTCAAAGTTTGCTCTTCTACAGCTCAGGAGACAAAACTGTGATTCTCATTTCAGTCTCACTTTAGTTTCTATTTTGTCTGAAACGCTGTTTCTCACATTTTTCTCCTAAAATTCACGAGGAGAAATAGGTGAGACACGATGACTTGAGGAGAAACCCTGCTGAACTTGATTCTGTGTTTTTAATGGCTCCTTTTATTCTCCTTTGTAAATGAAACTGAGCGACACTAGAGCTGCTACGGAGCAATATGTGAGGCTACATGGGAAAGTGGTCTCAGACTTTTGGACACCACTGTATATAAACTAACACTATACTGAGAGGTGTTCCTAATATTTTGTCCATTCCATTTATAGGAATTAGATTTGACAAAATATTAGGAACACGTCTCAGTATATCCCAGTACACTTAAACATTACCACAATTACAATTACAGCCTCCACAATGACCATAAAAATAAACCACGACTTCTCAAACAGATTCAGTAAATACTGAACATTATAATCCTCATGAAGGAGGATTTATTACAGGCCTGTTCCATTATACTGCATTAGTTTCATTCAGGTTCACCTAATACATATATATGAATTAAACCGAAAAATTAAGGTCACTTAGAAATGCTTAAACAAATCAGCCCTTTATTTAAAGTTTACTCAATATACAGCAACGCTTAATAAAATGCATTCCTTTGAATAGAATGGTAATGGGCCGGAAATAAGTGACTGCAGATTGCCTTAAAAAGGTCCACTGAATAACTGGTGCTAGATGTCCTGAACGGTCTGTCTCATCTTGTAACACCACTTTGTTCCTCAAGAGGCGATAGTGAGTCACTGTAACTTGATAAACTTATCATATAACTTATCATAAAACTTACCAGCAGAACTTGAGGTTCAGGTGAAACTGATGGTCTCTCCCAGGGCTCCTCCCCCTGTGACAGTGAGTCATGTGACGACCTTAGTTTTCTCAACTGATGCCCATCCATGCACTGCACCACAGCACATGATGTGAGCTGCAAGAACAGAAGAAAGCACAAATTACAAATGAATCCTTACATACAGTAACAGCATTGTGCCCAATGGAAACTATTTACAACATTTTTACCAGGGAATCAGTCAATGTCCAGTGTTTGCACTGCGCTCATTTTAACTTTCCATCTTGGCGTTGAAGAGTTTTTAAGACCTTTTTAAGGCCATCGTGAAAACAAGTTAAGAATATAATTAAAGGAAAGGAAAAAGAACTTTGCAATAAAAGTCTTTGACATCTTTGAATGTATATACTTTTTAGGCCTTAACTACTGTCCACGACCTCCTGAGCAGCAAACAGCAGACAGACACGATCCGAGAGCAGCTGGTGAACATAGTGGAGCATTAAGAAGCTAAACAGACAGATTTCCCTCAGGAGCTGGTGGAGACCAAACACAGAGCTCAAAGAGAGGGAACATTGGACTGAGATCATCATGAAACATCAGGTGACACAAACACCACTCCAAATGCAACAAATATAATAAATAATGTCAATTAAAAGTTATAACTGAAGATAAAAAAACACAGCTTTACGACAAACTCTTACCACTGAGTCCTCAATTTAATGTAAGAGCTGAATGTTGGTCAGAGCCATCAACCTGGGGCCGGCCAGCACTGCCTCTCTGATGTCACATAATCCTTGAGAACGAATGACCACCGAGTCCTCACGGTCCCTCTGGACCACGTGGCCACCGGGTGAAGACGGCAGAGCTGGTTGCAAACGGCCGCTGCCTTGAACTGTCACCTGGGCTGCCTCTCCTGGTCTCTGGGAGGGAAAACAACTCGCCATTTCTCTGCTCTGTCTGGCACGTGTTGCCAGGAGCTTGGAAGTACTTGGCACAGGCTTGAGGAAAAAGTAGTAGTTTCTCATTACTCCATCACAATAAAGTTCCTTAACAACAAATCAGAGACAGCAAGTTTCCAAAGTTTGCTTTTATTTGAGTAAATTTAAGGTGGATGACGGCACAAGCTTTAAAATCTACTACACCTGTCAGGATATGAAGGCAACTAATTTTTATTAACTAATTATTGAGGGTTACTGCAACACATTACAACAGACCTGCATTGTAAACCAGAGTGAAATCCATCAGCTTATTGTGGTTGTTTTTAGAGTTGTATAGCTTTGGGCAGTAAAGTCAGTAAGCAGAGTTATTATTGAGTAGTTCCTTATAACACCAAAATAATTTTCTTCACAACAAATCATAGACAGTAAGTTTCCCAACCAATACTTTAATTCAAGACACATAAATATTAATAATCACACCCACATTGTTTTCTGATGCATTTGTGATTATGACGACTTAGAAAAATGAATTAAGAATCATTTTAACATTTTGTAGTTAAAATCATCATGCGCATCACTTACCATTTCTTGCTGGTTTGACTGCAAAGGTGCGGATCTGGCCCGAGGTGGAGTCTGCCATCTCTATGAAAACATGGAAAAATAAGGACATGTTAAGCATTCCAAGGACTTCGAATATAAAAGATGAATCATTCATCCATTTAAACATCATTTAGCATATACTGTAATAAAAACAAGACTTAATAAATCTGAACAAATGACACATGTGAAGAATTTGTAGAAGAGATTTATATTTAAAAACACATTAGTGGTGAGGCAACACAAAGACACTGAAAGAGGAAGAGTTTCTGTCACCATCTGTGTACACATGCAAAGCACTAAACTGTAAAACGTGGTGCTCACAATTCCTGCATGTGTGTGACACTGAGGTTACAAGTAGAATTTAAATTCAGGTGTAAAAATGGGATCTAAATTCTACTAGTAACCTCAGTGTCATACACTTGCAGATTTATGAAGGCAAGGGCATACTGCATGACACATGGATGGTACTTGGCAGGTTAGAGCAGCATGAGGAAGGGATGATGACATCATCACAAAGGCAGACTCAGAAAATAACGTTTATTACCAGGTAGGTTTTCATTTACAAGATATTTGGTTTGGTGTAGTATCCAATTAACATATTCACAGGAAATATCAATAAAAAGGTCAAATGCAAAACTGCAATACTCAAATATAAATACACATCAATTTAAAAAAGATACACAACTATGTACAAAAGTGTTTTACAATTAAAAAACTCATGCTGAGCAAGCTGTGCAAAAGGTATTGATTAGGGGATGTGCAAAAGATCACAGGATAGACAATATCTGTTATGTACAGGGATGATACCTCAAGGTGTTGATGTAATGTGGTTGTTGATTGATGAGGCCAGATGCAGAAGGAAAGGCAGGTGCTGGTCCATCATTGGTGATGATTAGACTGGAATTCTGGTCCTGATACAGACAAACATGTGATAGGACAATTCCTTTAGATCATACAAGTTCTTTACATTCAAACATGTTAGGCCTGTTGTGTGTATAAGAAATGATAGATATGAATATGCAAAAATAAATACAGTATGGATATTATGACATGTAAATGCAAGGAAATGAAGGGTAAACAACTAGAGGTGTGATAAGAATTCAATGTAAACACACTATATAACCAACAAATTCTGTAGTACAAATATGGATATGCTGTAAGATACATAACCAATATCGGCAGTGGTATATTCATTAAGAATCAGCAGTGTGAACATGTTCACACTGTGGGTCTGATTTAATCACAGTGGTATAAACAAGTCTTACTTTTAAAAGTGAATGATAGCATGTTACTCACCTAGACCCTCCTCACTGTCTGGACTCTGCCGTTGGTGAGACAGGTGGAGGCGGTATTGCATCTGTACTGGTTCAGGTCCTGATAAAGACAGAGGGATGATGAAATCTGCTGAGAAATGTAAAGTGGTTACAACATGGTGAACCGATCGACGTGTATTCACTCGGGCTACTGGGTCCGTACAATCTCAAGTTACAGTCATCAGTTACAAAATGAGCCTAAAGTCACTGACATAACTAGCTGGACAACAGCTGAGAGCAACAGACACAATCCTACTAACCGCTAAAACGTCTGTCGACAACGTCAATATCACCACCTGAAATGTTTGTCGGTACGGTTTGTCAATCGTTGCACTAATTATACTTTTAGCTAAAGAGCTAATGTTGACGCTACTCACCGGGCTAACAGGAAAGTTGCGAGCTCGGCATCAAACCGCATCTCTTTACTCTCAGCTGTCTCCAGCGGTGGAAAGCCACATCGAGATTTACTCGTGTTGCTTCTTTTCTTTGCCGTTGAACGTGGTTTCTTGTCGGGAGCGGTCCTTCGGGATGCAGATGCATAACCTCTTAGGAGGTTCAGCCATGAAGTTGTTCTTCTTCGTGGGACTCAGGGAAGACTCTGCAGACCCTGCTGACTCACACAGCGTCTAGTGTCACAAAGTGGTATTACAACACAGGACAGGTCGGGGCTGGCTGGTGCGCATGCTCATTTCAGTAGATAACTGAATACAACAGATGGAGATCTCGATAATGACATCACTGTGTCTCCTTCACACACTGTTGATCGTGTTAATTCGTTTTTTGAACATTTTAAACTAAAGTTCTGGCCAGATCTTATATTGGACCTTTGCAGCAAAACCACCAAAGCTGACATTTAAAAGTAAAGCTACATGTTCTTTGCCCACATTGCAAACAAACTTACAGTTTTGACACTTAGTTAAAATTAAGACATTGAGCTTAACTTGACTGATATTGACACATTTGATGCATACAAAACACATTTTTATTTGCTTAGACGTATATAAATCTATGAGAGAGAGATTGTATCCATATTTATCACATTCAATTTGACATGTTTTTATGTGAGGTTTGCCTGATTTACAGTATATCATCTCCTCTGTTTGAGCCGGGAATGAAAGAAAAGAAGAAAAGGAAGTAAGAGCGTCTGATCGGGCGGGATGGGCGGTGATTGCAGCAAACTGAAAATCCTTTTCTTCCCTCTGTGACGATGCTGAAAGACAGTAAAAACAGATGGAGGTCCTGACACACAGTCAGACGCTGGAAGGGAATATAAGAAAGTCCAGAAATCAGAGCAGTAATTTCCTACGTTTAGCCTTGGATAATGTTTCAGCTTGTTTCTATTTCCTCCAGCAGTTACAGAGTCATAATTTACAAACTTCCCTGTGTTACCCCAGAGGAAAATTGTACGGCTCAAAGTTTGCTCTTCTACAGCTCAGGAGACAAAACTGTGATTCTCATTTCAGTCTCACTTTAGTTGCTATTTTGTCTGAAACGCTGTTTCTCACATTTTTCTCCTAAAATTCACGAGAGAAATAGGTGAGACACGATGACTTGAGGAGAAACCCTGCTGAACTTGATTCGTGTTTTTAATGGCTCCTTTTATTCCTCCTTTGTAAATGAAACTGAGCGAACTACTAGAGCTGCTACGGAGCAAATATGTGAGGCTACATGGGAAAGTGGTCTCAGACTTTTGGACACCACTTATATAAACTAACACTATACTGAGAGTGTTCCTAATATTTTGTCCATTCATTTATAGGAATTAGATTGACAAAATATTAGGAACACGTCTCAGTATATCCCAGTACACTTAAACATTACCACAATTACAATTACAGCCTCCACAATGACCATAAAAATAAACCACGATTCTCAAACAGATCAGTAAATTACTGAACATTATAGCATCATGAAGGAGGATTTATTACAGGCCTGTTCCATTATACTGCATTAGTTTCATTCAGGTTCACCTAATACATATATATGAATTAAAACGAAAAAATCAAGGACACTTAGAAATGCTTAACAAATCAGCCCTTTATTTAAAGTTTTGCTCAATATACCAGCAACGCTTAATAAAATGCATTCAAATGAACAGAATGGTAATGGGGTGGAAATAAGTGACTGCAGATTTCCTTAAAAAGGTTCACTGTTGTAACTGGTGCTAGATGTCCTGAACGGTCTGTCTCATCTTGTAACACCACTTTTGTTCCTCAAAGGCGATAGTGAGTCACTGTAACTTGATTAAACTTATCATATAACTTATCATAAAACTTTACCAGCAGAACTTGAGGTTCAGGTGAAACTGATGGTCTCTCCCAGGCTCCTCCCCCTGTGAACAGTGAAGTCATGTTGACGACCTTAGTTTTCTCAACCGAATGCCCATTCCATCCACTGTCCACAGCACATGATGTGAGCTGGCAAGAACAGAAGAAAGCACAAAATTACAAATGAAATCCTTACATTACAGTAACAGCATTGTGTGCCCAATGGACAACTATTTACAACATTTTTACCAGGGAATTCAGTCAATGTCAGTGTTTGCACTGCGCTCATTTTAACTTTCCATTCTTGGCGTTGAAGAGTTTTTAAGAACCTTTTTAAGCCATCGTTGAATACAAGTTAAGAATATAATTAAAGGAAAGGAAAAAAGAACTTTGCAATAAAAGTCTTTGTCATCTTTGAATGTATATACTTTTTAGGCCTTAACTACTGTCCACGACCTCCTGAGCAGCAAACAGCAGACAGACACGATCCGAGAGCAGCTGTGAACATAGTGGAGCATTAAGAAGCTAAACAGACAGATTTTCCCTCAGGAGCTGGTGAGACCAAAACCACAGAGCTCAAAGACGAGGGAACATTGGACTGAGATCATCATGAGACATCAGGTGAGACAAACACCACTCCAAATGCAACAAATATAATAAATAATGTCAATTAAAAGTTATAACTGAAGATAAAAAAACCACAGCTTTACGACAAACTGCTTACCACTGAGTCCTGAGCTGGATGTTTGTCTAAGCATCAACCTCGGGCCGGCCAGCACTGCTCTCTTGATTGCATCATAATCCTTGTAACGAATGACCTACCGAGTCCTCAACGTCCCTCTGGACCACGTGCCACCGGTGAAGAGGCAGAGCCGGTTGCAAACGGCCTCCGCCAGGCGCTAACACTGGCCCAGTTTCAGGGCCCGAGTTCAGTCCAAGAAGACAGCTGAAAGATAATAAGTGTGTGTTATGAATATAGATCTGATATTTCATTAGAAGGAAACAGTGATATCTGAAGTGAATCTCACCTCTGAGACATCTCCTTCACCAGGAAGGAGTGTGTTCTTGCCGCTGATCGCTGCCTTGAAACTGTCAACCTGGGCTGCCTCTCCTGGTTTCTGGGAGGGAAAAACAACTCGCCATTTCTCTGCTCTGTCACGCAAGGTGTTGCCAGGAAGTTGGAAGTACTTGGCAGCTGGTTGAGGAAAAAGTAGTAGTTTCTCATTACTCCATCACAATAAAGTTTCTTAAACAACAAATCAGAGACAGCAAGTTTTCCAAAGTTTGCTTTTTATTTGAGTAAATTTAAGGTGGAAACGACGGCACAAGCTTTAAAATCTACTACACCTGTCAGGATATGAAGGCAACTAATTTTTAATTAACTAAATTATTTGAGAGGGTTACTGCAACACAGTTAACAACAGACCTGCATTTGTAAACCAGAGTGAAATCCATCAGCT